ATGTGTGTGCGCTCCTGAGCGCGTGTTGTGTGTGCGTGTATGCGTGTGTGTGTGCGTGTGTGTATGCGTGTGTGTGTGTGTGCGTGTGTGCGTGTGTGTGGGTGTGTGTGCGTGTGGTGATGTTCGGAGCGCCAGGATTACGAGCAAAATATAAATTAACGTCGAGGCGTGCATAACTTTGGCATACACATACACGCATTTCGATTGCACTCAAAACAAGATTGCACTCCAAACAAGATTGCACATATCAAGCATTAATAACGTAAAATATTTAATACTATACGCGCACGTGACGCATTGTTTCGCCCCGGAATGATAATTTTTTAAGTAGTAATCGCGTGTGTTTATACAGCGGCTTGGACCCTGGCGGGAAGAGCTGGCGTGAATTCACGCAACACCAATGAATAAACTTCGCGGCAAAAGCACGCGTTGAGTAAAGCTGGTTATTTATAGACTTGCTATTGGGTACGTTGTCGGTATAAGTAATGCGAGTAGAATGTTTGTGCGAGCGTTACGTACTTGCGGAATGCATGACGCTCGCGTAATACCGGCTTGTGAATTTAGTAATTAACGCTCATTCGGGCATGTAGTCGTTTCGCAGATAGCTACACGCACGCGCAGGCGTGCACACGCACACGTGCACGTGCAGACGTACACACGCACACATGCACGCGCGCACACACGCAGCACGCGCGTACACACGCACACACTTACACGCACGCATACGCACTTAACTATACATAAACACACGCGCATATACATCACTGCATCAATACTTCGTCGGGGAGTGTCTCGCTAGAACACGTAAAATAATAGAAGACAGTCAGTCTTGTACCGTATGCGTGTCTCAGGCCATTGCTACATAAATCACATATACATCGACTTCTCTCTTTCGCAGCTACGGTCCCCCTCGTAATAAAATTAAGTAATACTCGCCACTTGATAAACACATACACACTGCAACCATATATACAAAATCCTAAGACTAGCCGCATACTTAGAGATAGCTACTCGATGCAAGGTGTGTCATACAGAATGCGTTTGCTGCTGCTGCTGTACGCTGCGCTGGAGGTCCTATTCGCCCACATACGCACATAAATCTAAACGACGATATAACGAATGACAGTTAGCGTCAACTTTAATCGTATGAATACGCGTCTCTGTTCGCGTTAAATCTATAGACGTTGGACTCGTGGAAAATTTGATTAAATTCTTCCGGTGTAGACTGCCGATATTCTGACTAGAATTATAAAATAATTTTTTCTAGAGCCGTTTTCTGTGAATTTCGCTGTTATAATACGATTCTCAGAATACGGACTTCATAGTATAACGCATATATGTTCATAACATCCGAATACAGAGCGCATTGCACGATGCCCGGCTAGGACGTGTTTCACACACACAGTGTTAAGTTGAACGATGGAGAAACACACGTAGATCTGAGAATGATATAGACGCTCAAAGAATAATCCGCTTACGCTCGGAGACAATACGAACTCTATGTTCGCCACGTTACAGTTCGGTGCATGGTGAACAATCAATAACAAAGTACTTCATCGAAAACAAAAAAATATATAAAACAGATCTAATAAATACACTCTAATTTTAGCCGTTTTGATTAATCTGCTGCTGGTAAAATCCGAAACAGAAACATCGAATACATCGCTTACAGTTCTGACGAATGACGATACTTGCTCTCAGGCTCGCTGTCTCTCGTGCTCTCTCCCTCTCCCTCTCGCGCTCTCTCTCTCCCTCTCGCGCTCTCTCTCCCTCTCTTTCAATGTTCGTCAACCGTCTCTCGGCCCCTCTCGAGCTCACGCGTTGTCATGGAGTCGCTCCGGCGTTCAATTCTTCCGTCGATCTTCGTCAAGCCGCGTTCTGTTGACAAGTTCCGCTTCCCGAGACTCGATGTGAATTTACAAACATCATTCGTATATATATATTTTTTTTACATATATACACACGCGCGCGCGCACACGTACGCACGTGTGCGTACGTGGGGCGTATGGGCGTGTGGTGTGTTGGGGCGTGTGTGGAGTGATTGGTGTGTGGGTGTGCGTGTGTGTGTGCGTGTGCCCGTGTGTGTGTGTGTATCTCTGTGTGTTTGTGTGTTTGTATGTCCGTATGTCTCTCTCTGTGTGTGTGTCTGTGTGTGTGTCTGTGTGTGTCCGTGATGTCCCGTGTCTATATACGCAGTCGTGGAGCAGCGCACGCAGCGCACGCTACCTCACATCTATAGTCAATGCTGCGCCGAGAATTTCATCCGCTTCTGCTTCTGCCGCTGATTGCAGAACCACACGCGAACCACATTCTTCTTCAAGTCCAGCTTTTCGGCAATGGCGGCAATCTTCTCACCCGACGGCCGCGGCTGCACGGCAAAGTACGCTTCCAGCGACCTCTTCTCCGGCGCCGCGATCGACGTCCGCTTCCGCTTCTTGTCGCCGACCTTTCCCGACTGATCGGGGATCTCTCCCTTCCTAGCCTTCGCTTCGGCGTCTTCCAGCCACGCCTGCAGGATCGGTTTCAGCGCTACCATGTTGTTGTGGCTGAGTGTGAGCGATTCGAACCGACAGATCGTCGACTGACTCAGCGAGCCGACGCCGGGCAGCTTGAGGTTTGCGAGTGCGTTGCCGACGTCTGCCTGCGTCACACCAAGCTTGATGCGTCGCTGCTTGAAGCGCTCGGCGAACGCTTCCAGCTCGCGCGGGTCGGCGTCCTGGTCTGGATGTATGGACATGTTGTGAGGGTTGAGGCCGTGGTGCGACGCCTGCATGCCGTGATGGTGATACATGGAGCCGTGGTGAGGGTTGTGCGGCGAGGCGACGTTGTGATGGTCCGTCGTGCCCATGCTAGACACGATGCCCATCGAGGAAGCAGGCAGCGCCGACATATCCAGGAGGTCCATCGTGTCGTGGTGCATGCCGTGATGGGACATCTGTGGTCGCCCGCCAGGGTGCGCGCCCATGTTGGCTGGGTGAGGGTACATGCCGTCATGATGCTTCATGTGAAGACTGGAGCTCTTCGAGATGTCCACGGCTGCCAGCGCCTCGGCCCGACTCAGGAGGCTTTCGTCGAGTCCTCCGAAGAGGTTGCCCTGTAAGAGAGAAGCAGGAGAGATGCGATAAAGTAACGAGCACGCACGAGACTATACACGCACGCACGCACGCACGCACGCACGCACGCACGCACGCACGCACGCACGCACACACGCACACACGCATGCACGCATGCACGCACGAGACTATACACGCACGCACGCATGCACGCACGAGACTATACACGCACGCACGCACGCACGCACGCACGCAGGCACGCACGCACGCACGCACG